GTTTTATAAACAAATTGAGCTAGCAAGCTGAAAAATCAACCGATTTCATTTTTGATTTTTTCCACATATTTCTGGTAATAAAAGGAACATTTTTAATATTTTTCAAAATTTTTATCTCAAAAATTTGATTTTTAAAAATCAAAAAACCGCTTTTTTTTTTGGAAGCCAATATCTCCGAAACTAAATTTACTACAGCACTCGCACCTACTTTAAAAAATCTAGAATTTAATTGCGAAAAACTTGGCTATTTTGAAAAAAATTAATTTTTGATTGGGGTCAAATAATAGCTTGTTGAACGCGAGCGGATTTTCGATAAAGCGAGCGCGTTCGCTACCCGGACTAATGGTAGAGGGGGAACTCAACAGTAGTGCTCAACTGATACCGGCTCCCCAAGCACGGTACAATTGTTCTTACCTTATTATTCATTCATTTATAAATATTATCAATTTTTATAATAATAAAATTAATAATAATTAAATAAAAAAAATTTATAATAATTATTTTCTAAAAAATTAGACAAAGTGAATAAATTTTTTTTTTATTCATTGACAGGTAGAGACACTTTTTTAGCGGTGACCGTCTCTTTTTTCTCATGCAAAAATCTTTCGCTACAAAAATTCTCAGCAATAATTTCTTGCTCAATATTTTTTTTATTTAATTATTATTAATTTTATTATTATAAAAATTGATAATATTTATAAATGAATGAATAATAAGGTAAGAACAATTGTACCGTGCTTGGGGAGCCGGTATCAGTTGGGCACTACTGTTGAGTTCCCCCTCTACCATTAGTCCGGGTAGTGAACGCGCTCGCTTTATCGAAAATCCGCTCGCGTTCAACTCGCTATTATTTGACCCCAATCAAAAATTAATTTTTTTCAAAATAGCCAAGTTTTTCGTAATTAAATTCTAGATTTTTTAAAGTAGGTGCGAGTGCTGTAGTAAATTTAGTTTTGGAGATATTGGCTTCCAAAAAAAAGCGGTTTTTTGATTTTTAAAAATCAAATTTTTGAGATAAATATTTTGAAAAATATTAAAAATGTTCCTTTTATTACCAGAAATATGTGGAAAAAATCAAAAATGAAATCGGTTGATTTTTCAGCTTGCTAGCTCAATTTGTTTATGAAACTTCGATTGTTAATAACTAATAAACTATAAGTCTGACAGAAATTTACCCGAAAACAAAGTTGTAGATTTTTTTATGCTCTACAAATTCTATGTGAAAACTTAACCCGCTAGATTAATAGTTTCAGAGATATTTAATTTTTAATTTACGTTTTTTTTGTTTGCCTATTATTTATTAACAAATTGAGACCGCCATTAGATACTTGTTAGAATTTCATATTAACCTACTTGGATTTGAAATTTCAAGAAATTTAAATTTTTCGATCAACTTCCAGTTGGCACAGCCAATTTGGCTAATTTCTGTGGGCTACTAGATTGACATCACAAATAAATTCGTAAGTTTAAAAAAAGTAGATCAAAATTTGTTTTTTTATTCATTTTTACAAGTAGCATTTTTTTTTTTTGATAAATTTTTTCTATAATAATTTATCTGTTAAGAAATCCTAAAAAGTTAATATAAGTAACATTAAAGTTATTCATTTTACATAATCAAATGTAGTAATATTTATTACGTAATTATATCTATTATAATTTATTATACTTATTGTTTACGTTCAAATTTATCAACAAAACTTGAAAACAAAATAATTTTTATAAAAATTTGATTCAATTTTCCAAGTCAAATTTTTTGAAAAATATAATTAATATTTACAAACTTGAACTTGAAATAAATTGTTTGAAGTATTTGTTAATAATTGGTCATATGTCATATGAAACTTGTTTCAGCTAAATAAAAATTAATTTTAGTATAAAAACTCCGTACGTGGGTTTTTTTCATTAAAATTCATATTCACTCCGTTGAAAAAAAATTTCCAAATTTACTCCGTACACTTAGTGTTTTATTTCTTCACTCCGTAACTTCAAATGATGAAAGTGTATATTCCCTCCAACTTCACATTCGATTAATTACAGTGTAATATTTAGTATTTAAATATCTTAATATACGATTGTTTATGTATTTAAGTAGAGAAGTCAGATTCAAACTCTAATACACTTTACATTCGAAAATAATTTTGTTTCATTTCTTCTTTCAAGTGAAATAAAATTAAAAAAGAAAAAGTATCGAAAATTAATTATTAGTTTTAAGTATTTTTGTAACAAATAAATAAGTAATTTCATTATTTTGAAGTCAATAAATATTAGAAAATTTTTTGTATCTATTAATCAAAGAAAACAGTGTAATTAAATTAATTAACAGATTTCGCATGTGAAAATTAAAAAAAATTACGAATGCAGTGTAATTCCAATTGTTGTACAATTTATAAGTAAAAAAAAAATTTATTCTACAATTGTGAATGAAACGACTCAGTTTATTTCAAATTAACATCTTAGTGAAAAATGTTCAGAACTATTAATAAGTAAAAATATCTTGTCAGAACAATGAATACAACAAAATTTTTGTATCTTTTTTTTATAAATTCTTTTGTTACGTTCTTAACAAAAATTATGAGTTTTTTTTTATATGTACATAATTTTAGTAAAGTAATCTTACCATAATTATTTGGTAATTTTAATTTCAACAGTTTTTCTTTAATTAAATATTGAATAAAGAAAAAACAATTTTTTTTTTATATTTTACATCTTAACTATGAAAATAATATTTATAAACTTCAATTAGCAATAGTAATAATAATAATAATTATTATTATTTTTTATTATTTACTTATTTTTGCAACACAAAATTTTTTAAATATCAAAATTTAATATAATATTTACATCAGCAAACTTCTGAAAACTTTTAAAATTTTCATAACAAATCAATTCTGATAGAAAAAAAATATTTTTATAAAATCGCACTTATAATTTTTAAAATTTCTACATTGTACTATTTTTTATTAACTTTTTTCATAATAATTTATTTATTATAAAAATCTAAAAAATATTCTGTTTATTGATTTCAGTATCATAAATTGTATACTAAATGTCTGAAATTCAAATTTTCCCGCGAAAAGAAAATCTCGCTACTGGCTGAAAAAAATTATCTCACAGCTAAAAATAAACCAATAAAACAGCTCTTAGTCAATTTAAACTAATTATCTTTACAATCTATCCGAATACACATAAAAACATAAAAACAAGTTTTCCATTCCACACTCTCAAATAAAAAATCAGTGTGTTGTGGCAGTTACTAGCTTTAGGTTTGCTTTTAATTGAGGTTAGAATTTCACCTGACACCACTCCGAAATGACAAATCTTCTGTCAAATATGTTTTGCTTACCAAGTCCATCCTCTCGGGCACTGGTGGTGTCATCAATTATTTGTTGCTATGTAATTTCATCAACATTCGCCGACGAATTCCCTCGGGAAATGGAAAAACCGAACCAACTTACCACAGAGGTAAATTAAAAATATATTTATTCTGTCAATTTCAACAATAAAGATTTAATTAATTCTAATAATCATTAATTATTTTCAGGATAGCAACCAACCGGATTCAAAAGTATTAAAGTCGAGCAATCTAGGATTCATCCATGCCTTCCTCGGGTCGCTCTCGGTGATACTTGTGTCAGAGCTTGGTGACAAAACATTTTTTATCGCCGCTATCATGGCAATGAGGCATCCAAGGTTAACAGTTTTCTCTGGAGCTATTGCGGCTCTTGCTTTAATGACTATCCTCTCAGGTAATTTACAATAATTGTTTTCTTGAAATAAAAAAAAAAAAAAAAAGAAATCGCAAATTGTTACAATCTAAGAAATCAATTATTTAAAAAAAAAAAAAAAAAGTCCTTGGAAAATGATATGAATATTTATCACACTGAAATCAGTAGACATCTGAAATTTTTTTAAAAATACTATGCTGAAATTAGCAGACATCTGACAATTCTTTGAATTTCTAAAACCAATTAATTATTTAACTTAAAAAAAAAATTCGCACTTAAAATGTTTTAAAATTTCTGCATGTGGAATTTTTTTGCTAAATTTTTTTCATTAAAATTTAACTCTTACAAAAATCTAAAAAGTTGTTAGATGTCTGTTAAATTCAGTATTATAAAAAAATATTTAAAAAAATTTACACATTATTTTTTTTTCGTTCCTGTATGTACAATTTCTCACTATATTTTTTTCATAATAATTTAATTGTTATAAAAATCTAAAAAATTATTAAATGTCTGCCAACTTCAATTTCATGATTATTTATTGATAAATTATTTAAATTTTTAGTACTCTTTGGATACGCGGCGACAATAATTCCACGTGAGTACGTTAATTATATATCAACGGCGTTGTTCTTGTTATTCGGGCTGAAGATGCTGAAAGATGGATACTACATGGCGCCAACAGAAGGCCAAGAAGAGCTCGAAGAAGTCCAGTTGGACTTAAGAAAACGCGAAGACGAGGTAATTGATTGTTTATTAATTAATTTTACCACCAAGATAATCGTAAATTGTCAGTTTACTTTCACTTGTTATCATTCTTTATCTGATAAAGATTTACCGATTGTAAAAATTACGATTTACATGGTACTTACATAGCACAGATTATTTTATGTGCAAATATACATTGGGATGACGGAAGATGTTATTGTGGTTTGATGGATAAAATATATTTATAATGAACTACAAATGTAATATTTCTTATTTTTAGTTCGAGAAAGAAACCGCTGGGATAATAGAGCAAGATCCAGAGACAGGTGTGATTAAAAAAACGAAAGTTAATCCGTGGATGTTGTTATCTCGGATTTTCTTACAAGCATTTACTTTGACATTTTTGGCTGAATGGGGAGACAGATCTCAACTTACTACTATTCTTCTTGCTGCTCGTGAGGTAAATTTTAGTCTTCAATTTTTCTTTAATAATTTAAACTGTTATATTACTAATAATGTAAAATATTTAGGATGTCTATGGTGTAATTGTCGGTGGTGTCTTGGGACATTCGTTGTGTACTGGATTAGCTGTCTTGGGAGGTCGAATGATTGCTCAAAAAATTTCCGTCCGTACAGGTAAATAATATCACTTATTAATGATATTTAAATTATCTTAAATAAATCAACTAACTAATTAATTATTAATATTATTTTACAGTAACAATAATCGGTGGAGTTGTCTTCCTAATCTTCGCACTGACTACACTTTTTATAGACCCAACTAAGAGTACGTGAAATAGATCTTAAATTCTTAAATTAAATTACAACGTACATTAAAATACTTTCCTAAATTATGGATATCGAAATTATATATTATATTTTATATTAGTTACTAGTTAATATTAATTACTAATTACTATTGCTACCACTAGTGTAAATTGACTTATTTTTAAAAATTCTATCATAGGATTTGAACGCTTCATTTATATTAAAAAAAAAAAAATTATTTTATACGGGCATCTCACTTATTACTGCGAGTGTATTATACTAATAACATTCGCGTACCTGATTATGAAATTAATTCAAACACTATAGTTTGTATTATTTAATAATCAATACATTAGTTATTTAAAGGATTTAAGTAACTAGTGTTTTTGTAAATAATAAACAGTATTTTTAAATATTGATCTATTAGGTATATTTTTTTGTGATAGCTCTTTTTCACCAGGGTAATATTTTTCTAATTAGATTAAAATTACTATGTGATTTTGACAAATTTATTTGATCTTTTGAGCGTCGATACTTTACTCTATGACTGTAAACTGAAAAAAAAAAAAAAAAATCTTAGTCTACTAGCGATTATTATAATTATACTTTTGTAATTAAGCACTCAAAAGATCGAATAAAATTTTAGATATAATTTAAAAAAAAAAAAAAAAAACAAACAAATGTTTGAGCCCATGCGAAATAAATTGATGTATTTAATAGAATAAAGTGTACATTGAGATTTGTTTTAAAATTTGTGTTCTTTTTTGTTCTTGGCATAATAAGAATAAGATTAATAATATAATTATTTTTAACGTTATAAGTGTATAATCAATGCATAACGATAATTGAATGTTAACACGTTACATAAACAAACAACTGTACATATTAAATTTAAATAGCGGATAAAAAAAAAAATTGATAAAAATAAAACACAACTACAATATAAAAAAATATCAGTCTAAAAAATATGGACCGCTTCTTTGTTAATTTTTAGATTAGAATCTATACTATCCATAAATACATTTAATACATAACATAAATATCTTTAATTATTTTGTTTCAATTAATAGTAGTAATATTAATTATTATCAATCAATAGTCATATCAATTAATAAATCAGTAACTATTATTACTTAAGACAACTATACACAACTATAAATTGTTCACTGATATCGTATAGTACTTATTATCATTATTATTATTATTATTATTATTATTAATATATAAAGAGAGCTTATTACGTACATAGTCTTATTCATTCATTCGGCTCATTTATCAATTATAAAATCAAAATTATAAATAAATATGTCAAATTTTAATTATTAGATCATGTAACTGGATTATTAAATGTTCAAAAATCAATCCTCATTATTTTTATTTTTTATTAATCAATAAACTTTTAATTAAAAATTTTTTTTTTTGATTAATAAACTCAGATTAAAATTTTTTAAACGTCTGAGTAGTCATGATGCGGGGCTATTATAAATACTCCAAAGGCAAACAAATGTTTGACACTGTTTCACAATATATTACGCAATAAATAAATAAAAATCAAAAGGATTGAAATTTAAAAACATTTAAATAAAAAAAATCAGACTCGTTTCAAGACTGTGTACATAATAAAATTAACGATTATTATATTCATTATAAAATAAGTTAATTCACGTGGGTCTGGAACCATTGCCACGGTACTGAGATCCCAGAGCCCGCAATCTCTCTACCCGTTGCGCAGGATCCATGGAAATTCGTTCTTCGGTAGCACTAATTGCCCTAGCGGTCTCTTGGGCTGGATCCTCCGCAGACATTTGTCTTTTCCTTTCCTGATCAATAATTTTGAGGTTCTGCTCGATGTAATTTCGGAAGAACTGGTGTGACTTGGCTAAGAACGGCTGGATGTCAGCCTCGGGATGCTCCTGCGTGAAATCATAGAGCTGAACAAGACCTTCGTGACTCTGCTGCTTGGATCCGATTTTCCTGAAGATCTCTGTCAGCTGGGCATGCATCTCTTTGGACATATGCCTTTGTTTGGTCTGGCCATTGTTGGAGCTGTTGACCATATCAATCAGTCGGTTCAAATACGAGCGCAACTCTGACTCATGGATGTTGTTTATCAGTGTCAAGTGGTTCAGCATCGAGTTGCCCTTAATTTTGGTCATACTGTGAAGGACTGTTTTTACAGTACGTACTGGCAAATCCGAATGTCGAGTTTTCCACCAAGAAGACGGGTAGTCCTTGAAAAATTGATGGACTGTTAGTAGAATAGTGTCATAGTTAAGCTCTGCTGATCTGTTTGAAATAGTTTTAACTATTTTCCACAAACATTTCATGACCAATTCTTCGTACTTTGGCATCACCGTCGACTCTGCACACTCTTGCAGCAATTTTATCAGCACACAAATAAGTGTTGTGTGGTTTGAGTAGTCAATAGTCTTGACAATTATCACATTTACGACGCGCATATACATGTCTGTGTCTTCTACATGCTCGAATTTATTCTCCGCCAGCAGCATCAACATCAAATAAATAAGCTCCTTCAGCTGGGGCATTGACACGTTTTTACCCAGGACTTTTGATTCTAAAAATGACAGCAGAACAACAAATGTCGCGCGATACACTTTGGTAACTTCGCTATTCTCGGGAGTCAGCGGGTATTTTTGTAAAAATTTAAGCTGTATGTTTATTGAATTTATAAACTTGTCTTCTTTGGATTCTATGAGGGTCAGCGGGGAGGACTTTATCATTTCGTCCATGTTGTTCAATGCCTGAAGGGCGGCCTGTAGCCGCGAACTGGCCATCAGAAGGATTGTGCGGTCCAAGTTGTCGTTCTTACTGCTGACAGGCGAGGTTACTGGGGACAAGCATAGAGATGGCTTACTTGGTGATAATTTTGAGGGAGAAATCTCGGTGAGGAGCCGGTCGATGTTTTGAATGGAGGTTATCGAGTCATTTGGATCCCACTTTATTTCTTGAAGCACGGGCACAGTCCAGTTTGCTGGGTACTTTTCTTCCAGCTGTCGCAGGAACTCCATATCCAGACCGAAAGGCCCTGACGGTTTTGCTCGGACAGGAGATTGAGGTGGTGATATTGCGTACCTGAAAACAATTTTTAATTAATTTAGTTTTTAAATTTAGTGATGGATTTTTAGACACACAAATGACATCACAATCAGCGCTACCATGCTTTCATATAATTCATTTATTATTAAGACAAAACAATATTAAGGACGTTCTTCCGCTATTTCTGACAAAAAATATTTTTAAGGTCAGTTTTTTAACCTAGGAGGATTATTTTTATTTCCAGTATGCAGATATATTTTAAAATTAAATAAAATTTTATCCCGAATTGAAAAACTGACCCTTACTTTCTGACAAAAACTACTTTTACTTTTAAGAATAGAAAAATTCAAGAAAAATATTTTTGTCAAAAGGTTAGTTGTTAATTAAAAATGAAATTAGTTTGAAAAATCAAATTTTAATAAGAAAAATGAAAATTTTCATCTGATGACATATGACGAATGAATATCCTTAATAATATGATTTAAAAATGGAAAGACATTCACCCATCACCAGAACCCACAAAAAAAAAATCTCTGTAATATTATCACGAACGTTTTCTCAGGTTTATTATTAACATAAGTGTTGTTAAAATTATTCTCCTGATCATTTGACAAATTATCTGGCGACTTAACAACGACGCGATCAACACTAGGAGGAACATTGAGATTTATTTTGTTGATCTTTGTTGTTGTTGATAAAACATGTGTCCTGTAAATTTTTTGTGTGGTGGAATGAAAATAAAATGTCAATTAATAAAAACCAATATTATCATTATAAATAAAAAAAAAAAAAAAAAAAAAATAATAAATAAATTCAATAATATAATAATAAAAAAATTAACTAACCGATCATCAAAGTCCTCAGCGATTTCTTCAGGTTCCTCGTCCTTTTCATCGCTGCCTTCAACATCCGGCTCAATATCTTCATTACTCGCCGCAGCGGCCATCATTGGCATGGTGGACATCCTGACAGCCGAAGCCGGTTTACTTGGCCGATTTTTGTTGGCCCTTTTGATCCTCTCTTCCAGCAGAGACATGTCTTTCTCGGATATATTACCAATCAGTTTGTGTATTCGCTCACCCTCGAGGTAGTAAGCCTGCACGATACAATTCAGCGCGGCATTTCGCACCGAGTTATCACGATCGGCAATTTGCTTGGCTATTTCTCTCAAAGCAGCCGCGGGTGTCGGCTGGCAGACAGTAACACCGTAGTTTTCGATCAGCGAGCCCAGCTGATCCAAACACTCAGTCCTCTGACGCGCGTTCTTTGACTTTAGTCCTTCCATCACATATGAAAACAATTTACTGACAGGATAAACCAGAGCGATGCGTTTGAACAATGCACGGACGCTGTTTCTCACAGAATCTTTGGGGTCCCCAATCTTGAGAATCAGATACGGCAGAAAAGAGGCAGCCTCGTTCTCTAGCATATGATACTGGTCTTCAATAAGAATTTGGAACACAGCTTGTAGAAAGTCGAGACCCTTGAGTAGGACAGAGGGGTTTGTGTCGAAAAATCTCAGGGTCAGCCATTTGAGGATCAGATCCAAATTACAAGTCAGCGCTTTACTATTGTCCTGGACGTTGTCAGAAAGCGACTCAATGGCCTTCAAATGGTACCGGAAGTCCGCATGAAACATATTGGCAATTAAGGACTTGTTTACGCCAGCGGTGCTCATCAATTCTTTCAGCAATTCCACAAACTCCTCTCTAAAGTACAGAAAATAAAAATATATTATTAGATCATCATTTCATTTATAATGTGACGATCGAAAGCTTATTTACAAATTTCTGATTCTAATTAAAATTACAAGACCTACTAAAAAAAAAAAAAAATAAAAATTAGATGTTTCAACCATCTCGCAAAATAAAACTTTCATTGTAATTTTAAAATACTAGGAAAAATCCACGTGAACTTGTTGTGACTATGATTTACTCAGTTAATTCTTATATAGTTTATTATTTAATTAA